CCGGTGCACGAAAGCAGAAGTTGAAAAAATGAATGGGGAACATCCTTCTAAATTTCAGCCTTCCGGTTTTTCGGTTCACGAGCTGGTAACTTTCGTATCAAAATTCTGCACGTGGTCGTACGTAGGACCTTCGTACATGTGGGAGCTAAATTTGAGTTTGTAAGATATCTGCATGAGCAGAAAACACCCTTCAGCCTCACAGCTCTTCTGGTTCCCGAGATAATAATTTTCTACAACAAACTTTCACGGGCCGCACGAGAGATCCATGCTTACAGGAAAGTTAAATTTAACAAGTCACCAGTGCTGCAAAGCCCGAGTATGTTCATAAGCAAAACTAAGGTGTAAATTGCGGTGTTACAATTCTGTTCCTTGTTTTCGCGTGGTTTTAGGGTGGAAGGGGGTTCTCTGTCTCGTCTCCCCCTCCCTTTTTTGCGCCACTCTTCATCCAGGAGCCTCCATTCTTCCTGCAGCTCATCCTTAGCCTCTTCCTGTTGCAGCAGTCCATCTTGTGTGTGTGTGTGTAGAAATAGAGGGGGTTCGGATGCTGGCGTTGATTTGTGCCAGTTATCTGTGGTTCGTTGTTGTACTGGCTCGCATTTCACGGTGGAATGTATTCGCTGGAACACAAATTTCATGTGTTGTTTTATTTTTTACTGCCACTGCAGCAGTTTTGTGATTTAACAGTAAGCTGCTGAGTAAGTGTTAGAAAATTTTGTTCGCTTTCGAGAAAATTAACAAGTAAATCCTCGCTGGGCGTCAATTTTTAGCGGCTTTTCTTTGTTATCCTCTCGAAATTTACGATATTTTTGCTCGTGCGAGTTCTGGTGTCCTTTGTCTTCGTGTAGCAGCAGCGGTATCTTTCGATTTTGGGCATCCTGCCGAAACTGTCCGCAATTCTCGTTTCAGATTAAGACTGTGTTTTATTTCAGTGCACACCAGCGTGTAGTAGTTTGTGGTTGAAGCTGGGCAAGGGAAGCGGTGGTGCTGTCGTCTCTCTGGTCGGCCAATGGCTGATCGCGGTTTCTACGCGGACAAGCTGATACTGGCTCCGATGGTACGTGCCGGCCGGACACCACTGAGGTACTTTTTTTTTTATTCTTTTAGCCACCTCCATACTGTTTGGCAGATGTTTTTTCTTTTTTTCATTTCGATGCATACATGCATGTTGGTCATCCGCAAATTGGTAGTCTTCAGCTTCTTTTCTTTGCTTTTTTCGTCGTTCATTGCAAAGGTCAGTTAAATGCTTTTTTCGTCGTTTACTGGCTACATCACAGTAACATCACTGCTTTTGTTGTTTCCCAGCTTATCTACCAATACGTGGCCAAATCAGGAACAGGAAGAGAAAATCCCGAGAGATTACTGTGTAGATTTTCTCAAAGGCATTTAACTGACTGAATGAAGGCTTTACGTGAAGCCACTTTAACCCGTGTAAAAAAAAAGGAATAATCTCCTATCCCCTAGCCATCGGCAGTTCCAGGACGGCTCCCCGGGGGTAGGGGGGGGGGGGGGG